AACAAAGTATTTATACTGTTTTATACATATCTAAAGGCAAACCTATCGGTGATGGTATGGATTCACGGGGGGTTCCTTCAGTTCGGGTCCGGCCATCAGCCGGGGCTCAAATGGAAATGTCTTATGTCTATAACTCAAAGGTTTGGTAAATTATTAGTGGAAATCAGATTTTTAGTAAATAATATGTCAATTAAATGTATTATTAAGAATTATGGGAAACAATGTGTTTGTATTTGTCATATAATTTAAAAGATTTATCGCTTCCACCAAAACAAACAACAAATGATAATCAATTAGGACTTCCGATCAAATGATAATTTATAAGCCTTTTTGGACTTAGATATTAAGAAATACAGAAACAGATATACTGTACAGCAGTCTTGTGAACAATAAGGACTAAACCTTACCTCCGGATCGATAGTCGGTGTCCACACATTCAGATAAAGACAGTCTTCTCTTCCTTCCAACTCTCTTGAGATTGGATTCACTTGAAAACAATGGGAACCAAATTTATGACAGTGTCTATGACTGTCCGGATTACACAACGGCTCCGGTGGTGTCCACCGACGGTCGCCCACCGGTGGATGAGCGTAAGGTATGCCCTGATATATAGGTAAACATATTATTATCACAGACTATTTTGTTAAATAAATTAATTTACTCATCGATTCTCAATTTGATTGTGATATAAATTTAATTATTATATTCTCAGTCTATTATTAATAATAATTTGTGTGAATTAAATGACAATCAAATCATAATATATTACGAGAAATCATATAAAATTAATTCCCATTTCTTTTGAAATATATATAAATTACGAAATGTTTGAAGAAATTCATGCAAACAATCATTGGTTTATGTTTTCATATTTATTTCACTCAAATTTTTAATAAAAATAAAATTCCCAAAAATACTAAAATCCCATTTGTCTTACTTTGAAGGCATAGGCATCGGATTCTTTGCCGCCAATCAAAGTGCCGCAATGTGTGATCACACGAACTGATCCGTGTCTTAGCCTCGTCTTGGAGAAGATGGTGTCAATAATGTCTGTTTCGTTGGTGTCATCAGTGGTTAGGAAACTAAACCTATCGACCAGTCTATTGATTGATTGCTGGGATTCGGCCGAAAGTTTGGCCAAAATAAGTAAAACACAAAACAAACTGAAGAAAAACAATACACAGACTATCGATAACTGCAAACATATCCAACGCTTTCGCGATAAAATCGATGCGGATTTCGGTGACGATAATGACAGCCAAAGCAACTGTTTGTCTGACTCTTGAAAACCCAGTTTCTCGTCGTTTCTCTCTATAAGTAACTCTTCTTCGTCTCCATAGCTATAGTTTTCGGTTATTTTTGTTTTATTTGTTCCCATTTTCCTGAAACCAAACAAATCAATGCTATTATTGTATGTGTTTTGCAAACAAATAGTGTCTATATGTTAATCGTAAACATAAATAATATTAAATTTCAAAAATAAAATACAAAAAGGTCTTTAAATATGAAGAGATTATAATAAGAAATGCCTTAAAGGCCGCTATTATTCATAAAATTATGAATAGAAATGTTTTATTCAAATGTCTGTTATTATTATTGACTTATTTTACAAGAATTGTCCGATTAATCCATTAAATGTTAATTCAAATGGTTTTTGCGATAAAAATATCTCATTAATCAATGGATTGAATGTTTTTGCGAAAAGTCATCATTTTTCACACCATTCAGAAAAGAGTGAAATCAAAATGTTTGACATTAAATATATTGCATTTAATAAAATTAATTGTATTTTGTTTTTACTAACATTAATATTATTAAATTGAATGAATGTAAAATTCTTAGTTAACTTTTGACTATTTTGTGATAAACACAACATTAGATTAAAATATTTATTATTTATTTAAATAAAGACAAATCGCTTTTGACTTCTAATTAAAGTTATTTATAAACTATTTTATAAATATCAAAATATATTAACTAATGTTTAAAAATTTTATAATAAACGAAAATTCTATCATTTTTAAGAGAAAATTTCTGATTTTTTTATTAAAGTATTTTTATATATTTATTTGACATTTATATAAAAATACAAATCAAGAAAACTTAACATAAAATCGTATAAAAAGAAAGTATATATTGCGAGAAACAATATATTTTATTCATGACATTGAGTTGTGTTACAAATTTTAACAATTTCTTCAGACAATAATGCCTTTCATAACAATAATCTTGTTTTTGCCGTATTTTCATTATTTATGAGACTTTTGACGCAAATATAGCTCTGCTTTTATAGAGTGTCGTAAGTCTTGGAAAATATTCACAAAAAAATAAAACTTAAGATTAGACTCAATATAAAGAAGAAAACAAACACACAATGAGATAAAAGCTAAACACATTGAGAAACTCCTGAACCAAATTGTTTACACTTTTTTATGATACTATCTGTGAATCAATATTCCTATCAATACATTTTCTTCAATGAAAACAGCAATTCATTGATATGTTATGAAGAGTACGTAAATAAGACCGACTCTAAGTATGTGTATTAATAAAATATGAAGACTAGTGGATAGAGTAATAGATATGTATTGTATTCACGAAAAAAAGTATTGCCTGTTATTATTATGCGGCAAATGTAAAGTATATATAATGTGTTGCTTTGAGGCAAACATGTATGCGATGAAGATGTTGCGGAGGCAATGATCCGCTTCCCAACACATATACTGTATATATGTATACACTATCTCTTAGAACATAGAGTTTGTGGCTCTCAATGTATGAATGTGTCGGATGTAATGCCTGGCAATGTGTGTGTAGTTGTGCTCTTGTGTTGAGCGTCACTCCTATTATTGATTTTGTCGTTAAACTATAAAATTGTTGAAAAATCAAAATATGAGAATAATTCAAAATTAATCTCTTGTTTTTAGCTGAAAATAAAGTTTTTTAATATTTTGCTTTCGACATAATATAAGACTCAAATTTCTAATTTGTTTAATGAGTTGCACAATATTTGCCATAAAATTTTTTATAATGTATAAGATCTTGAGTTTAAGATATTTTTAAATAACTTGAATTTAATTTATGATATTTTTTAGATTCTTGTTATAAATATTGTTTGTAATGTAAAACATCTTTTGAATTTTCTCTCTAAAAATATTATTGAATTTAAGAATTTAGAATTTTATTAAGATTTTAGTTTTTAAATTAGTTATTATTAACACATATAAGGATTACATTTATTAAGTTAAGTATTTTATTAATCATTATAATGATTTCCATAAAAACTTTACATTATTATTATGAACAAATATTTAATAAAAATTATAATTAATCTAATGATTGCTTATCGTATAATCAAACAAACTATAAATAAATTATGTTTTAATGATTTTATAAAATATTAAAAGCATGCAAAAGAAAATATCCATTAATTTTCTAATGTTTTAAGGAATGACGAAAAATACTCTCAAAGGAAATGGCTTTTCAACCTTTTTTTGTCACAAAACTTCAGTTATTAAAGACTTTTTATGAATTAAAATTAGAAATTTAATGATTTTCTTTTAGACTATAAATTAATGTCAAGTCTTATTAAGTGTTGACAATTCTTAAGAAAAAATACATAATTTAGGGCTAATTCACACAGACTTATAATAAAGTGAGGCTAAGAATGGGATCATTGAATGCAATGATTGATAGAAAGGACTTCTATTCTTAAGCGAAAAGTTTATTTTGTTGTCTGGAGAGAGAGAGAGAGAGAGATGAAGTGTTTTGCACCCTAAAATAAAATGTCATAAATTTTTATGAATAAGTTATTGGAGAGACAGAAGACATGGATTTTTTTCAGTTTTAGCCAACTTTTAAACGATTGAATGAAGAAAAAGCGAGAAATATATTTTCAATGTCAACGACAGCACAAAAAATATATATAAGACTTTGATTTAGTGTTGAATTATATTTTCAATTTTTTGCAGTTTCAATGTTTGACAGTTTATGGACACATAAATTGCAATTTTGATCCACGACTAGGATTTCAGAGATGACTCTTTCTCTCAATTCTTTGCTATTATTTTCCATTCGTTTCGCGAGTTTTTTCACTATTTTTCGCTATTTTCTCAAAAATATTGTTCATTCAAATTGTAAACTAATGCTCCGTTTGTGACTTTTTATCCGCAGTTTTTATTAAATGTTTATAACTGTTTATTATATGAACTATAAATATAAAAGTTATATATAATTTACATGAAATAAAAAGTTAATAAAAATTATGTTCAAATTATATGAATAATATAAATAAATGGTTTATTTTCACGACATATTTGTTATTTGTAAAACTTTATATACTTTACAGTGCAATACTTGTGATACTTATTTTAAATAATTGGTTAATTAGTTAATAAATTTAATTCTTTGATTCAATAAGCCTAAAATGAAGGATTAAATTAAACAATTTATAACTGTTATGACATTAACCAATATTTATGGACAAAGAAATGTAATAAAAATTAATTTACTGTATATTATACACGGAAACCCATGTAATAGACAACGACATTAATTTTTGTCCAAAATATACAAACAATTAAATTATGAAAAACATGGAGAGAAAGATTTAAGAGTTTGTTAAATATATTGCATTAATTAATTGCAATATTTTTCATGTATTAAAACAATTTATTGATAATTGTAAAAATGTAATAACAAGTAATTAATAATTTTATGGTAGAATTTATTGTTTACTTAAAATATAACACAATTTTTATAGAATTTTAGTGAAATATTTTATTGTTATATCAAATTTATTATAGTTTCTCATAACTTATTTTACTTTAGTTTATTTTAAGGATTATTTGAAATTTATTTTTTGCTATAAAAATTACAATAAAATATTATTTGTTCACAAAATTTTTATTGTAATTTAATGGTCAGTATATGTTATATTTTAAATGTCTAAAAGTAGTGAACCGATAAAACTGTAGCCATATTTTACTTTTATTATCAAAACAATATAATATAATAATTTATATTAAAATGTAAATTAATTTATGTCTATAATTAGCTAATATTACAAATAACTTGATCAAATAATATGACCAAGCAAATATTATTATAAAATAAAACTTGTTTATACAGTATACTATACATGTAAGTAATTCCAGCAATAATTTGTTTGTACTTATTAATATTAATAAAACAATATTATAATTGCATTTAAAATTTTTCTTTTAAAATGCCATTCAATATATTTTTAAAACTATTTGCATTGAGTATACATTTGAATAAATAAAATACAAATAAATTCTTTAAAAGGAGAAAATGCTGACAAAGAATTTGAATTCATTGACGATATTTACCACGTTTTCCACTTTAATTCTATTACTTCCAAATCGATTGACTAATACTTGAATTTTCTCTCAAAATACTTTTCGCTTAAATACTGTAATTCATTGGATGGAGAAAACGAAACCAAAACACAGCCATAACTAACCTGAATAGCAATCAGTTATTTATATATAATAATACTTATAGAGTATTATTAAAGTTTTCACTAAAAAATATATCGTAAGACCTATTTTCTGGTATTAAAGTAGATTGTTATCGAGAGAGAGAGAGAGAGAGAGAGAGAGAGAGAGAGACTTAGCTTTTGATCCATCATTTTATTTTAGTTTTGTAGCCATCTTTTCATAGCATTATTCTATGCTATTCTGTCGTTCAGTAATCAAAGACTGGAAACCAATACTGAAGGAAAAGTATTGACAAAAAATTACTTTTTATACTTGCCTTCAGAAATGGTAACGAATTTTTATGCAGTATTCAAACGGAACAGAAAAGACAAGTCCTTTAAAGAAAGAAACTTTCAATTCTTAAAGTCTTCACAATTTTAAAACAAACTTTTCTTTTACTCTATTTTCTTCCACTTTATTTATTTTAAAGTTAAAATACATTCACTATATTTGCACTAAAAGTATAGTAAAAGTCTCTTAAAGGCAACCAATTTATAACGAAAGGGAAAGAATAGGGTCTAAAAAGTGAAACTCAAATTGATTTGTTCAGCAATAAAATATTTGGACAATTTTTATTCATTTTTTGTGTTGCTTTTGTTTTTAAAAGCATACATAAAAATCAATACAAAATCAATCATTAAAAGTAGACCTAAAAGTAAATTTACAATCAGTGAGAGAGAGAGAGAGAGAGAGAGAGAGATATATTAATTAATTTAAATAAAATATTTGTGAGTTATATCGTACAATATATTATAGATAATTCTCTATTTAAATGATATCACAACTCATTTGTTGTTTACTTGTGTTGGAAAGAATGGATGCTTTCAATTGATTGCAAAAAGTTAATGAATGTTTATCTCAAATAACAAAACCATTAGTTATTTTTTGCGCTTCTGTTCAATACTATAGCAAAACATTATTACTATTCAATAAAAAGAGAGAAAGAAAGAGAAGAATTGTATGGAAAACCCTATAGACGACAACCAGAAGTGGATAATAAACTTTGGGTTCAAATAATAAAAGAGATTAATGAATGAAATACTAATCAAAAGTACAGTATTTGCTTTGATTCTGAGTGCGCTCTTAATATTGGCTGAATTATTGGGTTTTTATTTATTAAACACACTGTTTATGTAAATACAGTATCAATAGATTAGTCCTAATATATTATATATTAGACCCAATCTATACTTTATGAGATATTAAGTCAAATGTTGCGCTAATATCAGCGGTTGAGTGATATTCTGGACATTACTTACAAACGAAATCAATTTTATGCAAAAGAAACTAAAACTAATGAAATGAAAACTCTCAACTAAACATGTTTAGCGCAAAATTGCACTTCACTTTCGCCTTGTATTCAATCCTTTTTCCT